GGCTGAGAGATTGAAGCAGAGAAAGAGGAGAGGAGAGCCTGATAGGTTAGGAGGTCGTCATGGTGTTTGGATTTCCACCGTTTCCGCTCTGCTGCCCTAAGGACGGTTCTATTAGCACGCAGTGCGTCATTTAGCCAGGGAGCAGGAAGGGACTGACGAGCCTGCCGAGATGTGAGAGGACAGAGAGAGTCCAGAGAGGATGAGAGAGTAGAGAGCAGAGTTTGGAGGCAGGAGTTGGAACGAGTCAGAGGAAGGGAGGGCTGAGAGCACCGATGAGGCAAAGGTAGAGGGGGAGAGGAAACGGAGGTTACGGCGGACAAGTGCAGAGTCAGAAGAGATTAGTTTGTTATGTTTGGAAAGGGGTAGAGAGAATGAAATAAATAAGTGATCGGATGTGTGGAGTGGGTTTACAGAGAGGTTAGAAGTAGTGCAGTTCCTTGAGAATATGAGATCAAGGACATTGCCAGCTTTATGAGTTGGTGGGGACGGAGACAGTGAGAAAGCAAAAGGCGGTTAACAGAGATGTTAGTTAGTCTATCTTCCCTGTCTGGAGGTTGAAGTCTCCGAGAAGTACAGCGGGAGGGCCATTTTCAGGGATGTGTGAGAGGAGATTATCTAACTCCTCCAAGAAGTCCCCCAAGGCGCCTGGTGGACGGTAGAGAACAACAATGGTTAATTGTATAGGATGGGTTACTGTGACGGCATGGAACTCAAAGGTGGAAGGAGTAAAGTTAGGTAGCTTGAAGAGGGAAAAGCTCCATTTGGGAGAGAGCAGGAGACCAGTGCCACCTCCTCTGCCAGTGGGTCTGGGTGTATGGGGGAAGGAATATCCAGTGGAGAGAGCTGCTGAGGTGGATGTGTTGGATGGAGTAATCCAGGTCTCAGTGAGAGCAAGGAAATCCAGAGCCAGAGATGAAGTCAGCTTTAGGATAAGCTGACTGGCAGTTCCACAGGCCACCTGAAACTAGATGTTGGATCTCAGTGGAGCATGTGGGATAGACGAGAGCAGGCCGGTTATATCGATTACGAGATACACGGGGCCAGTGATAATTGCGAGACGACACATAAACAGGAATGGAGAAAATACACATGATTATAGCATGAGGGGCTAAACAACAAAATAAAATAAAACACCAGCGATACTTAGCTCAATCAAAGTAGGATTTGCCTCCTCTTTGCCTCCCTCGGGACTCCAGCAGGACTCCTTTGTCTTTGTCAGTCTTACTCCAACAGGACTCCTTTGTCTTTGTCAGTCTTCGTCTGACGCTCCAGGAAAGTTACCTAAAATGGACACCTGATTGCTGATTTCTCACAGCTGTGGGACCACGCCCCTTTAATTAGTTAATTCACTGCAAGCTCTGTGCCCCTCGAGAAACACAAACCTCTCACTTTCTCGCGCTACATGCGCCTCCCTTACTGGCTCTCAAGCAGTTATATTTGTGCCTTGCTCACATTTGACTCATTGACACAATGAGCAGGCGACCGATTAGGCGATTTTCTGTACGTGGGGCTCTGGACACATTTTTTGAACCAGATGAAGAGGAGATTGAACCAGATGTCTCAGAAATGGAAGACAACAGCGATCCAGACTATGAGCCTACACAACAGACCAGGAAGAGGCCCCTGAGGGAGAGGCCCCTGAGGGAGAGGAGGGACAGTCCCCTGAGATAGAGGCCCCTGAGGGAGAGGAGGGAGAGTCCCCTGAGGGAGAGGCCCCTGAGGGAGAGGAGGGAGAGTCCCCTGAGGGAGAGTCCCCTGAGGGAGAGGCCCCTGAGGGAAAGGCCCCTGAGGGAGAGGAGCCTGAGGTGACATTCCACAATTTTGCATTGCCAACTATGTGCGTGAACACATGTGAACACACACTCACACACACACATGTTCTGTTATGGTATTTTTCTCTTTCAATAAATGTTCATTGAAGAAAACAGTATCAGTGTCTTATTTTATATATATATCACAATGAATGCTGAACTTGATGGGCCCACCGGTGGGTCCGGGCCATGACATGAACACTGGCTTGCTTGTATCAAATCAATACATCCCATACATCATTGGAACGGGAAGAATCTCAGCTACAACACTAACTAAATCATTTCCATATCCAGTAAACACAGCCTACATGGCAAGCATTTTTATAATATACAGTAATGTAAAATAAGCACTATCTTTGAACTTACTGCCAAAAATAATATGAAATTCACACCTGGGGGGTATACTACGAAGCAGGATGTTCTCTTAGCGGCTAAATTCAGGGAAAACTCCGGCTTTCCGGTCCTACGAAGCTGGTTCTCTTTTTAGCAGGCTAGATCTCCATGGTAACTTATGCTAAGCGGCTAACCTGGTCGGGACCAGGTTAGGTTGCAGGCTAAGAGCTCAACTCAGTGAATGCACTGCCTGCTGACCAATCAGAGCTCAGTGTGGAGTTTAAAGAGATCAAGTCATATTACAGGAGAAAGGGAATACAGAAAAGCTGCCGTCGCAGGAAAGACGGCCGGCAACAATCAGCGACTGTGTGAACGTGAACATGAATAGAATATCACCTCCATCTTCAGAGCAATCTGACTATTATAACATTAGCGTTAAGAAAGCTTACTGAAATATCTGCCACAACATAAGTAACCGGATCAGAGTCACATTAAGTACAGTCCATATCACTTCATAATGTATCATCTCCTGATCTGAGTCAGCTGAGCCGTATCTGGCCGTGCAACACTCACAGCGTCACAGACTGGATGCAGAAGTATTATTTTAAGCAACACATTAAGTTGACGAAACACTCGAGACAAATGTAATGAAAGTCAGATGGTGTCTTAGACGGGCAGTGATATCATAAAGCTGTTAATGTACGCATTCAAACACTTGTTCTGTTACCAGCTGTATTCACCTTGCAGGTGCAGCTCTGTGGCTTTGATCCTGGATCAAGCGTTTAAGTCATGGATGTTTAAAGTTTAACTTCTTCATTTTTGACTAGTATTAAAGTTCACTTTTCATTCAGGAAGTATAACGCTGCGCTGTCAGTATGCTTCTCCATGTTTGTGATTGGTCGAATGCTCCAGATACCACCCCTTTCATGTGAACGCGCACCTAACTAGATAGGAAACGGCTGGCTTGAGCGATCCACTTGATAACCAGCGTCGTAGTACAGTTTAGCGAGAGCGCGTATGTTTTGGATTAGGCCAACCGGCTAACTCAAACATATCCAGGTTAGGTTGAACCAGCTTCGTAGTATAGGCCCCTGGTGTCATTCTGTTTGTCATCCCTTGATTCCACTTGCTTTGACTGTCCAAATGAGATGTCAACCATCAAAATTGGATAAGGGGTTCCAGAGATATCACTGTGCAAAACACACCGGTCAATTTTGACCGAAAATAGCATTGGAAGGGGGGTATGACCTAACGCAAGAGAAGGGTTAAATCAAAGTTAACCCTAGCAGTCAGTTAGTTCAGTTTTAAGGTTTCAGTCAAATGAATTGTCCCAAGTTTCTGCCTGACAGATACTGTAGCGGTTTTTAGATTTAAAATCCCAATTTCAATCAGATCAACTACAGAGCATTTATACAGAGTACACACACTGAAACAGAGAAGTCTAAAAACAGAATGTTACTCACACAATTCTAGAAGTCACCAGTTGTTATCCTGTCAAAATCGAGTTGCAAGAAACAGCATCTCAGGGCTTCTTAACATTTAAAAAACTATGAATATGTCATAGCCACTTAACGGGAAGAAACTCAGCTAACTGACGATATGAACCATTTTTAACGAAATAAAAACACAAATCTAACACCGAGCCTCTGAATTAGCACTAAGTGAAAGAGTGCTAACGCACTTAGCACATAACTCACGGTATAAATATTGTATACTTCACCGGATCTGCACAAACTACATATCATATGAAAGCTGAGATTCCACGGATTCCAATGGTATAAGTATCATCACTGCCGCGACCAAAACTCGCGGCAGCGAAAGCCAGGAAAGACAACACACAACTTCACTTTATAAATATAAATACGTCTTACCTTTGCTGTTGTTCTGATCAAAAGTTGTGTTCAAGGGCATTACAACGCATATAAACGCTGCTGAAGGTTAATCCAATCTCTCTGTGTCACTTTGAAATGATTACTGATAATCCATCATAACATTTATGTCAATAACCGGCGTTTTCATACGAGAGTGTATGAGAGCTTCCGGTTTTGGGCATGATGGCGGCGCTGTACCGATGGTAATGTTTAGATGGAGTTAGGAACCTCCCCTCGATTCTATTGGCTCTAACGGTTCAAAAGAGGTGTCAATCATCAAAATCGACCGATGGGTTCCAGAGATACAGTATGGCAAATCCACCCAAATCCACCCAAATGACCCCAGAGGTGTTTTCTTTTTCTAAACCTCTCTAAAAAGGTCAAATTTAACTTGTTTTTCATCAATCTCGATACAGGGTACTTATTATATGTTATGTTTGGATTCCTAAAGCTTTTAGTCTACTTTCCCATCATTCAAGGGTGGTTTTCACTACAAGTAATGGTTTATTTTTGGATGGACTCTATACTTTAAATTGTTTTACAATCTGAATTTACTTTAAAATAAAAAACATCTATATTGATTCTGACTTTTCTACATCCAACTCACAGGTTTATCATTGCTTTGAGAATAAAGATTATTAATTTAACCCTTTTAGAAGATATGGTCATTTGTTCTGGGAATGTCATTTTTGAGCCTGAGACCTGAAAAACAGGCTCAGGGCTTAACAGGTTAAGAAGAAAGAAAAAGTGCTTTATAAATCTATTTCTCATGATCTAAAGACTCTAAAATAAGGTTTAATAAATTAAAGTAGCTTTAAAAAAATGTTATCATGATTTGAAGCTTTCATTGTCATATGCACAAGGAAAACCCCAAGGCTCCTTAAAGGATGCAACACACTGAAGACCGAATAAAGACTTAATTTAAAGGTTATTTTTGGGGCGGAAATCAGGAATTTAATGACGTTATTTTAATTTGTTCTACAAGGTAACCATAGTAGAGTCCAGTGAGCGTATTGGAGGCCGAGTGCATACCCACAGGAACGAGGAGGAGGGATGGTTCGCTGAGCTTGGAGCCATGAGGATCCCCAGCTTTCACCGGTGAGTTCAGACAAGACAAGTTTGAAGAAATAAATCTTATTCGCCTTAAAGGTCTCCTATTAAGGTGAATATTATAGGTCTCAGATATATACAAATGTATTAAAAACATGTCTGAAGTGTTTTGCTAAAAATACCAAACAAATCACCCATTCTAGCCTCAAGTCCCTCTATTTCAGCTGTTACTAAAGTGCTGATTCTGGGTCTGTAGATTAAAAAATCAAAACCACATCAAGGATTATTTCTGAAACAGGATGGAGCTCAAACTCGTTCTCTCTCTCAGGTTTACCACAAGGTGAGTTCCTTTTTACTTCCTGCTTCTTTACACATGCTCTCCAGTACAGGTTAGCTCTGAGTGTTAGCGATGCTAATGTAAACACAGACCATAATTACTTCCTAAATATGTCTCTCATTGTTTCTGACAGCAACGTTTCTGATTGGCCCATGGGTGTAGAGACCGCCCACATTTTAGTAATGTCGTCAAATCTGGATCAGCTCCGTTGTTCCCCCGTTTTTAGAGATGTGGGTACGGAGGAAAAGAGAGAGGGTTTTATTCTCTGACACTTTGTGAGTCTCCTGTGTTATAGAAATCTGAGACCCAATACTGTGGAGATTCACAAGTCAGAAAGATCAAAAATAAATGGTGAAACAGACAGAGTTGTCTTTCTGGTTATTTATTTGAAGCTTCAAATATAAAGACACAGGTCTCACAGAGTATAGGATAGTCTGCAGGAGTGTGCGCAGTAGTAATAAAATAGCAACGCTTATATACAGGAAAGGGCGGGATGCTCAGAAATCTGTCTTCACACGGTCTCATATTGTTATTAGACACCTGTCCTTGAGCTCAGAATAGGGAAGCTCTTGTGAGACTTTGTGTGAAGAGGAGTAGTCTCAACATAGTCTGCCAAATCAGCTCTGTGGCCTTGAAGCGCTTGGGAATAAAACCTCCATTAGAGTATGCAGAGAAAACAGCACATAATAGGAAAATGATACAGTAGTGTTAGACAATGCTTTTAGAAGCATTTGGTTTTAGCATATAAGGTAAGGTAAAGAAATGTCCACTACACCTGACACACCGGGGACACACCGGGGACACACCAGGGACACACCGGGGTCACACCGGGGTCACACCGGGGTCACACCGGGGACACTCTGGGGTCACACCGGGGACCCATTTATGCAGAAAAGACATCAAAAAGTGCATTTTGCATGATAGGAGACCTTTAAGTCTGAAACATGTAAATGCGTCTGTTGGCAGCATCGTCCTCTGGTTTGCTAAAGAACTGGAGGTGAAGCTGAATCCATTCATCATGGAGGACGGGAACACGTTCTACCTGGTGAACGGGCTGCTGAAGAAGAAGACGTCCGCTGTGAAAGGCTGATCCAAACATCCTGGAGTATAACGTGTCGGAAGGCGAGAGGGGGAAGTCTGCCGACCAGCTAATGCAGGGAGCTCTGCAGAAGGTACATTGCACATAAATACAATACATTGAAATAATAATACTAGTAATAATTGTAATAAGATTATAAAAGTTAAAAAAATAATAATAATGGCAAATGAATTTACCCAATATCACAAAAGAGAATATTCAATATTGAATCATTGCTACACAGATTTTCTATGAACGTTTGTTATCTATTATTGCTTGGTATTTGTCCTCACCCACAATATGCAGATATATAACAAATAACAGCTGAGATGTTAATAATATTCCCTCCAGGTGAAAGATGAAGTGTACACACATGGCTGCAAAGCTGCGCTCCAGAAGTACGACCACTACTCTGTGAAGGTGAATGTAATTTTTATTTGTAAAAAGAATGTATTTGATGTACTTCCAAAGCACATTTTACAAGGGTAGAACACTTCATTTTAGTTTTGATGAAAGACAGAATTTGTAATGACTATGACGTAGAAACCCTCCCTGTGTTGTTTCCCAGGAGTATCTGAAGGCAGAAGGTGGCTTGAGTCCGGAGGCGATTAGGATGATCGGAGACTTACTGAACGAACAGAGCCTGATGTACCTCGCTCTGACCGAGATGATCTACGACCAGAGTGACATCAACGACAACACCACGTACCGTTTTACAGTTTCACCTTTTCCTTAATTCATTTACGTTACAGAACGGTGCAGCAATGAGTCTTTAACCCTTGTGTGGTGTTCATATTTCTGTTACTCAGCCAGTATTCGTGGGTCTGGTGGACCCCCTGCCTTTTTAGGCTTCAATTCAACACAATCAAACTATTTTATGTTAAAATACTCAACAGATATTTACTTCATCTCAATTACAATCAATATAAACAGTACATAATACATATGGTTAATATTTGCCCTTTTACATTTGTTAGATCACATTAATGAATTAAAGTGCTACTCGTTTTTTTGCTGACCGGCTGGTCCTATGGCTCAATATTTTCTTTGTTACTAGCTGATGCTCAATCTCATCCTCTTCTTCAAAGTCACTGTCAGACTCAGAATTCTCAGAAATGTGATCCTCACATTCTGAAACCTCTTCCTCTTCCTCTACATCAGCGGTTCCCAAAGTGTGGGGCGCGCCGAGGCATGACAGGGGGGGCGCGAGAGACCAGGAGGAAAAATGGTTTAGATTAAAAATTTAAAAAATCACAATTTGAATAATTATTGATTCGAAAATAATATGATGCAGTACTATTACGTCTGGGTCTCTGTGTTTCATTAAAGCTCGGCTCTGTGTGTGTGAAACGAGCCATTTCGTGTGCGTGCGCGCGAGAGAGAGCGCACCGGTACCGGAGATCGTTGTTGTTAGCTTCTGGTGCTAGCGAGCTACGCTAACGGATATAAGGAGTTTTTTCAGCAACAAAGTGGAGGAGAGTCCTCTCCTGTCAGACTGAGAGGCTCAGTGAGCTAAAGGACTCTCAGTGTTATCTCAGTGGGTCTCAAACGTTTTGGTCACCATTAATGTAAACAATTATGTCCGAGGCACACGTTTATATGATCATTATAGTTATACAAAAATAAGAGAATACATTAAAAACAGGTATGAAATACTATATGACAGTAAAACAAGAATAAAGTTTAAAAGGGTGATTTGTAAAATATCCATAAAGAAAAAGTAAATCTGTTTACAGTTAAGTTTCATCTGTGTTGAGAGATGTCCATAGATCTCTTCATTTTGCTCTCAAAGTGCAGCAGATTGATGCTTTTAACTTCAATATTTAAAAATAAATCTTCCAGGGGGAGCTTGCCCCCGGACCCCCCTATGTGAGGTCCACTCCCCACCTATAAAAATAACACTTTACCCCTGCTTATATGCCGTGAGCTGATTATCGTGCCTTCATTGTAACAGTTGCGGGAACGTTGTGTATATGCGTGGGGAGTGTTGCAGTAGAAAATTCAACTGTAGCGACCGGTACATTAATGGGAAACCCTAAATGTTTGAGCACCCTCTATGAAACGTCAAGCTACCCCACATCACCCCCAAAATAAATCTCTGGCGCCGCCACTGAGCCTGACTTGTGTTGGGGGGGCCCGACTTTTTTGTTTCTCCAAAGGTTCTCTGAGCAGAGAATCGTTTGGCCATCTTGATCAGTTGTGAAAAGGACCCAAACTGGCAAAGCTTTATTTATTGTGTCTTGCCCCTAATGTTCAGCTGGGATAGAGTGTGAAAAAAATAAAGATTGGTTCCCGCAAAACATAATGCGAGAATGTGAGAGCAGACAGGTGTCCCAATGTTGCAACCTTGTGCGAGAATGGCAGGGGCAGAAACACAAAAGTCTCACACATACACACACACACACACACACACACACACACACACACACACACACACACACACACACACAACACACACTAACACAAACACATACATGCACACACACACACACACGGCCCAGATAGGTGCAACACTTTTGTTCGCCCCAGGTCCAGCGGACCCAAACACCCTGTATGTAATGTAAATAGGGGGTACAGTGAATGGTCATTGGAAATGTGTTCTGATATATGTGCTTCACAGAAAATGAGCAAAGGCCATTGAGTGTGGGTTTGAAGAACTAATTTATCATATCATTTTTCTTTAGCTGAATAATGAAATACTGAATACCATACAAGGGTTAATGAGGCAATTAACCTCTTACTGTTCTTCCTCTCAAAGACAAGCTTATCAAATGTTCACGTGTTGTTCTACGACATAAAATACGTCAGTAAATACCCCACTGGTAAAAAAAAAAAAGGCTGTTGCTTACAAGTGTCTAAACGAGACGACTAAACGTCATCACGCCCAACATTAGCCTCCTTTAGCTTAGCGGTGGTGACTTGAAGTCATGTGACCGTGCTGTAGTTCTTTTATAGCCCAACATTAGCCACCTTAGCTTAGCGGTGGTGACGTGAAGTCATGTGACCGTGCTGTAGTTCCTTTATAGCCCAACATTAGCCGCCTTTAGCTTAGCGGTGGTGACGTGAAGTCATGTGACCATGCTGTAGTTCCTTTATAGCCCAACATTAGCCGCCTTTAGCTTAGCGGTGGTGCCGTGAAGTCATGTGACCGTGCTGTAGTTCCTTTATAGCCCAACATTAGCCGCCTTTAGCTTAGCGGTGGTGACGTGAAGTCATGTGACCGTGCTGTAGTTCCTTATAGCCCAACATTAGCCGCCTTTAGCTTAGCGGTGGTGACGTGAAGTCATGTGACCGTGCTGTAGTTCCTTATAGCCTAACATTAGCCACCTTTAGCTTAGCGGTGGTGACGTGAAGTCATGTGACCGTGCTGTAGTTCCTTTATAGCCCAACATTAGCCTCCTTTAGCTTAGCGGTGGTGACGTGAAGTCATGTGACCGTGCTGTAGTTCTTTTATAGCCCAACATTAGCCACCTTTAGCTTAGCGGTGGTGACGTGAAGTCATGTGACCGTGCTGTAGTTCCTTTATAGCCCAACATTAGCCGCCTTTAGCTTAGCGGTGGTGACGTGAAGTCATGTGACCGTGCTGTAGTTCCTTTATAGCCCAACATTAGCCGCCTTTAGCTTAGCGGTGGTGACGTGAAGTCATGTGACCGTGCTGTAGTTCCTTATAGCCTAACGTTAGCTTTTGTACTTCAAAGATCATAAAGTGGTGTGAATATGTGGAGTTTCAGATGTAATCAACATGTGTTTTATTGCCTCTCCAACGGCACACATATAAAGAAATCCAGAGGTCACTGATCACATATTACTTACATTTGTGGCTGATACAAGGAAACTAAAAAAATGTTCTCTTACAGGTACTATGAGGTGAACGGCGGGTCTGATCTGCTGACCGAAGCTTTCCACACTGTCCTCCACGTCCCCATCCTCCTCAACTCTAAGGTCAAACGTATCAGCCAATCAGATCGAGGGGTCATCGTGTCCTATCAGACCGATCGAGAACTTCCTCTTACTGACCTTCATGCTGACGTTGTCCTGGTGACCACCACGGCCAAAGCAGCCCTTTTCATGGACTTTGTTCCACCTCTGTCCATTAAAAAGATGGAAGTCCTGAAGGGCGTCCACTACGATAGCTCCACTAAGATCATCCTCACTTTTAAAGAGAAGTTCTGGTTGGAGGATGGCATCCATGGCGGGAAGAGCATCACCGACGGTCCTTCTCGGTTCATCTACTACCCGAGTCACAGTTTCCCGAACAATAAAGACATCGGGGTTCTGCTGGCTTCCTACACCTGGTCCGACGACTCCCTCCTCTTCCTGGGAGCGAGCGACGAAGACCTCAAGGTCTGTAAAGTGCCCCGATAAACATTCCTGTTTGTCATCTTGCAATATACTTATTTATATAAATAGTTATCACCGCAATAAACCGTATTTGATTTTGTCTTACTTTACATTATTTAATTTCATCCAAGTTGAAATAGAAAGTAGTTGCAAAAATATATCGTATAAAGCATGATGAAAACAGTTTATCTCTAAACTATTGAAAAATAATGAAAAATATCTCGTAAAAAAGTCAAAGTATAGTTTGTAAAAAAACACAATGAAATAAGTCGGAAAAAAGTATAAAGTCAATGAATATTACATTATCTTTGGAAAAAAGTCACAATATAAATTGTTAAAATAAAGTATATTGTCAGCGTAATTCATTTTTTAAAATTATTTATCGAAATAGAAATCACCGCAATAAACCGTATTTAATTTTGTCTTAATTTACATTATTTAATTTAATATTCTGTTCTTGTACATATCATATTCTATTGACTTCTTGCACTACTTTTTATTTTGTATTTTATTATAAATGTTGCATTGTTGGAGGAGCTCAGGTCAGAAGAATTGCATTGTTATTTCTACACTGTAGCTTTGAGCATATGATGATGAAACCTTTGAATCTTTGAATCTTTGAAAAAGGAGCTGGCGCTGAGAGACTTGGAGCGGATCCACGGGAAGAAAGTGTGGGCTCTTTGTACCGGGGTGGTCGTGAAGAAGTGGAGCGCCGACCCTCATAGCCTGGGCGCCTTTGCTCTCTTCACTCCCTTCCAGCATTCTGAATACTACTCCAAGGAGCTGTTCAGAAGGGAAGGCAAGGTGCACTTTGCCGGGGAACACACCGCCTACCCTCACGCCTGGATCGAGACGGCCATGAAGTCCGCCATCAGGGCGGCTACTAACATTAACGAAGAGGCAGCGAGAACTCAACAGCATGACGAGTTGTAGCGTCTTAAATCCTGCAAATACTAGAGATCACTTTAGTTTTAAAGCCCTGATGCAATAAGCAGAAAAACCAAAAGTATAGTAGAAGTACTCAGATCTTGTACTTGAGTAAAAGTAGAAGTACCAGAGTGTAGGAATACTCTGTTACAGTAAAAGTCCTGCATTAAAAATGTATAGAGGACGTTTTTAATTGAAGAGAGTATATTATACAGAAACAAGTGAAAACCAAAGACCTTAAAACAAATCTGACCCTAACAAAATGATCCCAAAACATGAATTCTATGTCTCTTAACATCGGTAAAAAATGTCTAAGATATAATAAATATGGTGCAGGGATGTTGTATTTGACCCTGAAGGCTGGTTCCTTTCACAAAAAGCCAATGGGATTTCTCATGTGATTTTGGATTATTACAGAAAATACAAACACACGTTTATGATACTTGGACGTTTAGATCAGCAGGGTAATCTCACATATTAACACCACCTCTTGATTTCTGGAGTGAAAAGCTGTGGCCGTGCTCTAATTCATTATCTCTGTATTTGTGTTGATTGTAAGTAAGCTTAAGAATCATAAAGTGGGTTTCTTTGTAGTTGTAGTCCTGTGTGTGTTTCACAGGGACATGTTTGACCTGTCAGGAAGGGCAAAAGGTGGATTTGCAAATGGTTGAGCACTGGGAGGTTTAATGGTTTAGTTTAATGATGGGGATGTTTAGATAATGCCTGAGAGAATTGAAGGGTGGGACCAGTTGGATATTCTCTCTACATATAATGAGACTGTAAGCTGTGTTCTGGGGTCGAAGCCATTTCATCCTGATGATGAAGCTGCTCTGTTCCTGCATTTGGGATCGATTTCAATTCTATATGGACTTTCTTTATTACTTTATTAAATATAACAAAAGACAAACTTTGTCCATGAATCATTTATCAGTTTCTCTTAAGAATTTCCTCCACATTATTATGTGGAGATTTCTGCAAAGCGTGTTAAAACTTATTCTGCAAAATCCTCTTCTTCATGTCTCTTCTACATCAACATGTGTCCCCTCTTCTTCATGTCTCTTCTACATCAACATGTGTCCCCTCTTCTCCATGTCTCTTCTTCATCAACATGTGTCCCCTCTTCTTCATGTCTCTTCTACATCAACATGTGTCCCCTCTTCTCCATGTCTCTTCTACATCAACATGTGTCCCCTCTTCTCCATGTCTCTTGTACATCAACATGTGTCCCCTCTTCTTCATGTCTCTTCTACATCAACATGTGTCCCCTCTTCTCCATGTCTCTTCTTCATCAACATGTGTCCCCTCTTCTCCATGTCTCTTCTACATCAACATGTGTCCCCTCTTCTCCATGTCTCTTCTACATCAACATGTGTCCCCTCTTCTCCATGTCTCTTCTACATCAACATGTGTCCCTCCTTCTTCAATGGTCCTCTCTTCTCTTCATCAACATGTGTCCCCTCTTCTTCATGTCTCTTCTACATCAACATGTGTCCCCTCTTCTTCATGTCTCTTCTACATCAACATGTGTCCCCTCTTCTTCATGTCTCTTCTACATCAACATGTGTCCCCTCTTCTTCATGTCTCTTCTACATCAACATGTGTCCCCTCTGTGGAAAGAGACTCTGAAAGTTTCAGGAACAAAGATTTTCTCTCTTTTTGATCCATTTCTATAAAAACCTGTCTGAAAATGAGCTGATCAGATTTTGGCCACTTTATGATGTCATAACGATGTTTTGTCTTGTGTAACCATTAGCCAATCAGCAACCAAGGTAACCCCCCCCCCCCCCTTATCACCTGAATCTCATCCTAGAGCTCCATTGAGTTCTTTGTAACCAAATGTCTCTCAGAGGGGCGTGGGGAGGGGCTCCTTATTTTCATCTAAAGTAACAGACAGAGAATCAGCACTTTTGAAACAGGGCTGAAACAGAGGGGATTATGGGTAATGCTGCAATGAGCCAAACACTTCAGACACATGTTTTGTATATATCTGAGACCTATCATATATTGATGAAAACCCGCATAATAGGGGACCTTTAGGAATCATAAACATTGAATCCAATCCAAAATCCATTCGAGAGATCTGATTGGTGTTTTGTTTAGGGAGCCCTTGCGATGCTAACCTCAGAGTCGGCACATTACTTCACACAGAAGAGTTCTCCGGCTCGGTGCAGGAACAGCGGCGGCAGCACCAGACTGCTGGGCAGACTGAACCAGTGTGGAGAATGTTCCAGCGCACAGCCAACCTCGGTGTTCAGCAACTTAGATTTCCCCAGAGACAGACTCACGATCATGCCTGCAAACCAAAGCCACGTCACGCCCATATGGCTGTGATGGTGTGGAAAGCCCTTTGCTTTGATTGGTCAACGCGCTCCCTGCTCCCGCCCCCTGGCCCTGGACGAATCAGACTGCAGTGAACAGAAAGGCTGCAGAAAGACAGGGTGATTAAAGTGACGGCCAATGAGCTGAATATCGGCCCACTGGACAAACCGGAGCCACATGTTACACCGCTCGATGCAAAGCTCAGCAGCCAAACGCACGCTAAGCTAATATTTCGTATTTTGACACCACGTGCATTTTTCAGCCCCATGTACACAACGGGGTGAACAACGGCCAGGTATCACTCTATACAGGTGAGGGTGTGAAAGCCAATCTGTCCAAAGAAAATGATATAACCGAAACACACCCCCGCTTTAGTGACCTCATCATCATCAGTGATAAGGCCGCTGACGTACGTGATGCCCGCGACCCCGTGGATCATCTCTACGGCGGCCAGGTGGTAGGTGAAGATGTCGGAGTGACTCGTAGTTTCGAAGGAGCGCTGACGACGCCATCTTTGGTAACCCAGGGCGAAGACGAAGATACAGAAAGGGTAGAGGAGGATGATCTTTGTGATGCCAAAGGTAATGTAGACGACCATTGCCACTTTGGAGTCCATGCAGTGGAACTTGGAGGAAGAGTTGACGGACATTTTGATTGGTTGCTTTTATGAAGAAAATGGAGACGAGAAATTAATGAACTGATGCAACAATTAAAACATTCAAATTTATTTTCAGAAGAAGTGGGCCTCGAATTGATCCCTGTGGCACACCAAGAGCGTTATTAATAAAAGGATATGTTGTTACAGGAGAAAGATTTTTCCTCCACCATTTAGCAGCCGAAGAGGCACTGAGAGATTTCCAGAATGATTCAATGATGTAAAACATTCTTAATGTAAAAGCTTTTTCAACCAAAACACATACTGTATATGTGACATGTTTTGTGTATATTGCATTTAATACATATATTTAATCTAATTGTATAAAACGTATGCCTATGTATAAAATATGGATGTTAAGCGTTTAAATAAATCACGTCTACCTTCGTTTCCACATTATTAAAGCAATAAAACCATACAAACACCATCATTTGTTTCAGTGTTTGTATATAGAAGCAGCTTTTTATTTATTTTATGCAGATTCTTATATACAAGCATGTGATAATACAATTCCAGAATATGTATAGATATGTATATTTAGTCAATTAAGGTTTATAAAAATAGCTAAAATGGTATTGATGATTCATTATTTTTACAAACATGGGCAAAACATTGAAAAGCAGATATTTAAATTATATTAAATGTTATATTGATTAAAGAACACTCCCCTTGTCACGGTGTTATTGATGATCTGTCTCTCCGTGCTCTCTGATTCTCTATTATCTGATTCTCATGTATTAATACCTATGTGTGTATTAATGGCACCATGTGCGACAGACAGCTGCAGGACTGTGGTTTATTTGCATATTGTCAAACAAATGATGGATTTCGTGTCACTCTACACTGTAAATGGTGTCATGCAAACTTTTGTTTTCATTATTTTCACAGTCAGAGCGCGGAGTCACTCGTTGCTCGAGGAAAATGTATTTACATAGAGTTTGAAATAAAATCGTTGGTTGTTTGTTGGTTTTTAAGTCAAATGTTGTCTTGATGCATACAACTCTCATTCAACAATGAATGCATTTTTGTTTTAGATGAAGCTCCAAAAATCTATCTATCTGAAATCAAGCTAGCCAACGTTTAGAAGAAGAAGAATTGGGAGGGATGAAACCCTCTTTAATGGTCACACATGCAGAGCACACAGTACACACAGTGACATGTGGCCTCTGCATTTAACCCATCCTGCAGTAGTACTAGGGGCAGTGGGCAGCTATTGCACAGCGCCCGGGGAGCAATGGGAGTGAGGGGGGAAGCGGGATGTCGGGTGCCTTGCTCAAGGGCACCACGGCAGGGCAAGAGCTGACTTGGGACATCTCCGAGTAGAAGTCCACACTCCATATTTAGGTCTGGTCGGGGACTTGAACCGGCGACCCTACGGCTCAGTCCAAGCCTCTACTGACTGAGCCACTGCCGGTGTACTATCGTTAACAAGTTGACCTATAGAGACCAAACTCCATTAACCTGTCAGTCACATTGTGTTTCATAATGGTACCTAATGGCCAAAGTTTCCATCAAAATCGAACGCTTTGCATAATAAGTGTTTTCCACCCATTTCTGTTAAAGATCAGGAAATGGGAATGTGACGAAGGACTGACGGCTTCGGGCCGGGTAATATTGCACTTTATTAGCGTGATTGCACAGTACAGTTGACACATGATTTATACTAATTATTAAGGTAGTATTTTTTAACTGATTAAACCGTAGGCCTATTTATTGGAATGTCGTCTGGCAGGTTATATTTTTGGACGTTTTGCCTCTGCCTCCTTGCTTGGTCTGGGCCTGTCACAGGGAACATTGAGATGAACATTTGGTGGCACTAATTCTACAGCAATTTGACATTAAACGTAAGCAGAAGAAGTTCCCTAGTAATGATTACAACATACACTAGTGTAGTTCAGCCTTGTCTCATATACAATCTGATTGCACACACTAATGTGATTCAGGGTTGTGTTTGAAGCCCGGTAGTTTTCCCTCTCTGTGCAGAGACAGCAGCGGTAACACCAGAGTGCTGGGCTCATTGAACAGCAGTGCAAACAGGACCACCACACACTGAGCGCTGTTGAAAGAGAAGCCTACCAAATTGCAAACCAGATTCCCCCCAAACCTGAAGAACAGCACTCCAGTTATGATCAGGATGGTGTGGTAGGCCTTCTTCTGTGATTGGCTAACCCGCCTCCTGGCCCCGCCCCCCTCCCCTGGCCGGGGTCGAATCAGAACGCGGAGAACGGAAACGCTGCTGACAGTAAGGGAGATTACATTAACTGCAAATTGGCAGGTGCTTGGTAAATAGGAGAACCTTGAGCCTTCCTTGAGCAGGACATGGAAACCCAGCCCCCCGAAGCACAGCAGCCAAATGTAGGCGGTCGCGATGTTTCTGATTCGGACACCGGACACCTGTTTCAATACCAGGTAGGTGATGGGGTGGACCACAGCGAGGTAGCGGTCCACACAGGAGAGGATTGGAAAAAGCATTTGTCCATACCAGGGGGAAATCCAAATGAGTAACCCAGCTTTGGCCACCACAGGGTCACCGATGAGGCGGCCGGAAATGGCGATGGCGGCCCCTAATGCTCCAATCAGCTCCAGGACAGCCAAGTTGGAGGTGACAAAGTCAGACAGATTCGTGACCGCCGATGAGGAACCACATCGCTGTTGTTTCCAACGCTGGAATCCAAGACGGAGGACAACAACGGAGAGAAGGGATGAGGAAGATGATGTTGGTAAGGTAAGAGCGAATTGCAGTGCAATAATGGTGCAGTCAACCAAGGAGGTGGACTGATGAGAAACGGAGTCATTGGTGGAGGATGAATGGTTAATGGGCATTTTTAAACAGAAGAGGCCTGAAGAGGAGGGAGAGACAGAGACGAAATCAATTAACAGTCATGCTAACGTGCTCAGAATGACAATGCTAACATGTGGGTGTTTACCAGGTAAAGTATTTACCAATGTTCCCAATCTTAGTTTAGTCTTTTAGCATGCTAGTGTTTGCTCATTAACAGTTAACACAAAGTATTGCTGAGGCTGGGATTAACCCATATCTCACGCACTCACGCCTTTCCTCACGCTAAGTTTTCGTCCGAAATAAATGTATATAAAAATAAAGTGAAGGAACAGCAAACCGAGCGGAAATGAGACGGTCTTCTGGCTTCGTTAGTAAAGTTGGAGCGATATTGGGAGATTCAGATTTCACGGATCAATAACTCACTTATGCTGAACTTTACAAATTCCACGTAAAAGAAGGACATGCTTGGGCTAAGAGTTTATTCCTGATTAAATCTATAAAAATTAAATGACAATTAATAAAGTATGCAAGGACTTTGTGCTGTCAGTCAATTAGAAGAAAATGATCGCGTTACACACAATACTATTCTGTGATTAATCATAATTGATCACAGGTTACACAAATATTAACGCTGTGATTGCCCATAATGTGTGTTAACGCGTTAATAGCGACAGCCCTAATTAAAATGCTAAATTATAATTTTCTATTGAATGTATGATAGTTATGATGGTGATGGCTGGGGTCAGGCAGAGTGGAATTGTTTGTATTGAAGTTGTTTATGAAGCAAATGAAGGAGATTGGCTGCCAGACTGCTCCGTGCGGGACAATACTGGATTTGAATGAACACTGAGGATCATTTGAATCCAGTCAAGCGTGATGGATGCTCAGATACTGATATGGAAATATGAAAACAATATATCTCAGTCTGAAAGCTATAATGCTTAATAACTTTGACTCGATTATTTTGTGTACACTCGTGCCTCCTCAACAGTACCGTGAGTTTGGAGACACGGGATAAGGACAATCAGAACCCCTACTGAACGAGGTGAGTGTCCTTCAATTAATTAATTAATATCAGTTCATATGTTTGTACTAAGAGTTGCAAAATGCCTCACGAATTGTCTCTGTTTGTTCTGCATTGGAAAGTAACCAACTTGAAATAATTTGAAATAACTCCTTGCAGTGGTATGTTTCTGCCAGAAAAGTCATGTTGCTGTACAAGATGTCATCTCTGATCAGTTCAAGTGGATTTTTGTGCCACATTTGAAGTAGTTCCTAGAGGAAGAAATCCCCTTCATAACGAGAGCGCAGGCAGACGGACAACACCACAATCATAATGCTAACGAGCAACATGTCAAATATGAAAAGGAATATTTAATTGGGAATAGCCAGCTCGTATCTCCTTATTCTTCTCGTTTTTATTTTCTCCTCAGACCAACACAGAAGACATACTGAAGATATGGCAGCTAACTCCTCTTCCACATCCAACTCTAGCAGCCTTCGAGACGGCTTTTGTGCCAACGCCACGGTTAGCTTTCACATCGGCAACTCCATCCTGGTCTTAAGAATGATCCTCCTCCTGCCTGTCTGCACCTTCGTCCTCTACCTGGGTCACCAACGATGGCGGCGTCAGCGTTCCTTCAAAACAACGAGCCACTCCGACATGATCACCTACCACCAGATGGCCATGAGTCCGATCTGGAGCTTGGGGGTCGTTTGCTCATTGTGCGGCACATATGCTAATCTACCCAAAGCTTCGGGTAGCAGCAGTCCTTGCTACTTCCTTCGTTTTCTATGGAGATGTCTGGTTCAACGTCCTCACCTGTGTGGAGCGATACCTGGCTGTTGTTCACCCCCTCATCTACCTGGGGCTAAAAAATGAGCGTGGGGCGAGGATCAGAAACATCAGCATTGCGTGCGTTTGGCTGCTAAGCATTGGAATGATGGGAGCCACAGCTCATTACCTGCCTGGTTTGCCAATTGCCGCATCTGTAAGCACTTTAGTCTTCGCCTCAGTAGTCGTGTCCTTTTGCAGCCTTTCTAGTCTCTGTGGTCTGATTCGCCCAGGGCCGGGGGACAAAGGCGGCGAGAAGAAGAAGGTTGACCAATCAAAGCAGAGGGCTTTCTTCACCATATTGGCCATAACAGGAATGCTGTGGCTGTGGTTTGCAGGGCTGATTATTTCTCTGAGTGTCTATGGCATGGGTGTCCTGCGTGAAAGTCACAGCTGTATAATTATGTCGTGTTTAGGAGTGTTTAACGTGCCCGCCAGTCTGGTGTTACCACTGCTGTATCTACACAGGGGAGGAAAACTGTTGTGTTGCTGAGGAAATTGCATGGATGACGAGGAAAGATATTGTCTATTAACCTAGCGTAGCCTTTATTCATTTGGACTAAATGAGAAATTCAGATTATGGATATATCAACTCAAAATTCACACCAATACTTTTGCGTAGCAGGTTTTTCTGAGGAATGCAATTTGAATTTTGTACAACTTTAATAAAGTATGTTAGTTTGCTAATTAAAATGATGGATTAATAAAAACTGATGTTGTTGCAAGGTGGTATTTTTATTGTTAAAGAGGTTCTTGAAAGAGTAGTGTAGGAATGAGTCCAAAAACACTGAAATGAGTCAGCATTTAGACTTTTAGTTCCCTCAACTCAAAGTCAATGGTTTTGGATAGAACCCCTGAAAATAAGTTCTAACACAAGCTTAAGTGATTTTAACGTTTTGTTTTACTTTAAAAAATGTGCCCTACTAATAATTACACTAATAATGAAATCAAGTCATAATGGGATAATGGTTCATAGGAAAAATGGATTATTGGAATAATCGATTATTGGAATAATGGTTTGTAGAACTAATGGGCTATTGAAAAAATAAACCATTGGAATAATGGACCATTGAAACGGTTGGCCATAGGAATAATGGGCTAATAGAATAGAGTGGATGAAACCCTCTTTAATGGTCACATGCAGAGCACACAGCACACAGTGACATGTGTTCTCTGCTTTTAACCCATCCTAGTACCAGGAGTCTAGTACTAGGAGCAGTGGGCAGCTATTGTACAGCGCCCAGGGAGCAATGGGAGTGAGGGGGGAAGGGGGGTGTCCGGTGCCTTGCTCAAGGGCACCACGGCAGGGCAGGAGGTGAACTGGGACCTCTCCAAGTAGCAGTCCACTCTCCACATTTTAGTTCTGGTCGGGGACTTGAACCGGCGACCCTACAGCTCCAAGTCCAAGCCCCTACTGACTGAGCCACTGCCGGAATGGGCTAATGGAATAATGGGTTGTTGAATACTGCATATATATGTATTAATCATGTACGTTGTGTTTAGACACACAATAAGGTATACAATGCAATGTAATGCAATGTAATGTAATGTAATGTATAATCAGCCTGAGAAATTGCACTTGAGTTGGTGGTGGTTGCATTAATTACTTGTTGCGAGTTAGAAATAACTCATATGCTGTTAGTTGAGTTGCATTGTGGGTAATGTGTCAGGTTTTGACAAGGAGAAGAGAAGCCTTCTACCACATTGTTTTTAACTTTTAATTTTCAAACAATAGTACAATGCTTAATAGTTGAAGAGCACTTTTAAGGTTTTGTAATGTCAAATGTATTTTTGTAGATGGATCTTATATTGTGTGTTGAGAAGTTGTATGGGTTGTAAATCAGTGTCACATGTTCGGGGTGAATTTTCCAGGTGTATTTATTGACATGATATTTATAATAGAAAATGCCTGCTCATCAGACATGTGGAAAAATGCAAAACGATTGTTTCCAAATGCATGCAGATCACATTCAGCAGCTATTGGGCATGCAAATGACAGAATAAACAACGACTACTGTGTGTATAATGTAGTGTTTGTGTTTATGATTTGTTATGTGAGTTATCCAGAAGTTCATTAATGGTGTGATCCTGGTGGTTTGATATTAAATGCATATCGTTATTCACATCTCACTGAAGTCTCGTTTCTGATCATTTAACAATGAGCATAATGTGTGTTTCACGTTTTCAAGGTCTTAAAAAAAATTACACATTGAAGTTTGGAGGTTATTTAGGAATCAATGCTTTATTGTAGAGTTGAGTGTGGGAGTGAATATTAGAGAGACAGTCCATAACAGTTAACAGACATGACATATAGTAAATATAGAGAGAGAGCAGGCATGTGACAATGAAAGATTTCATTAGTTTAAGGACTGTGTTTCAAAACACCACATATCAATATGAGAGAAAAGAAAAACCTTAATTGGTGCAATAGTTTTCCTTGAGTGGTGGAAATCCAACAATGATACACACCCAATCCACGTAGGAATAGGAATGCATTGTTCCGAAGTTACCACAAATGGATGTGTACTCGTTTGAATTGTGTTTGAAATGGTCATCAACTAGTTATTTTTGCATTACATTTCAAGATTACTGAGAAGGCAATTCCATCAAATCAACTTTGAAACGACATTCATGTTTTACTGACAGTAAGGCCCAGAAATCTCCTCCCAGCTGTTGATCAGCACTATTTGAGATTCAGCAGCACTATTGGGCGCTAACACAAAGTCAGAGAATGCACTTTTAACTGACAATCAGCATTATGGAAAATACATGAAATCCTTTTTGGGACTCTGGAGTTCATTTAAATCAAAATGGTCTCATTGAACATAGCACATGTTTGGTTTTAGCTATCCGTGAAAGAGCATTGTTAGCATTCAGCATTGAAACCAAGGGCCATAACTTAGCGTATAACCAGATGGACTTTTTCTTACAAAATCTAAAGTATTAAATCTTCAAAATAAATGTCCTTACTTGGGCAGATTGTAGTTTATAAGTTTGGCCTTTGTACTCTGCTGTATTCTGAGCAACAGCTAACTTATTAGCTTTTTGCTAAACATGTCTATTGATTTCAGTCAGAAATGAAATGCTAACAAGCTGTTTTCTTATTGGCTAGCTTCGTTATTTTCCCAACACAGACTTTCATCTGACGAAATACAAATAAAACAACACTTGAAATGCTGATTTTTCCGCTCACAACAGTCAGTATAAAATGTATCAAATACCAACAATCATATTTTGATTCAACATAACAGACAAGATGTACAAAAAGAAGACATATAATGGGCACTTGAGAATTTCAATGCACATGGTGGAACACAATCAAATGGAGAAAGAAAAAAATAGAAAGATATAAATGGCAAAATATATGAATAAATAAATAGATAAATAAATATTATGAAGCAATAACTAACATAAAGTGTTCTATTCGATCACGCGTGTTAGCCCAACATGTTCTGTATATTACAGGTATAACTGCACGTGAATAACTTAAATGCTTTTATTGCCTATTTAACAATCAATTAAATGCTTTTTGTATTACTTCTATTGAATAGCACTTTACCAAAACTCATGTAAATGCTTTTGCAACGTAACATTGGTCTTGCGTCCTTTGCTGTGAATTCAGGAGTTTATGAACTGTTTTTATGAAATTGGATCCTACAGTTTAAACCAGTAAGTTTGATGAAGACAATCACATAATACAGAGGCATGCTGATTGGACACTGAGCCATTGTTTTATGGAAGATGACAGAACGAAAGAATCATCTTGTTTTTGGCTATTGAAATGAGATTGTATATGTTCCTTGTTTTCCAACATTTTACACGATATCATTTAAATGTGTTCTCACAAATATATAGGATAGATTTATAGACCTTCTTTTTCTCCTTTGCAACAGATTTCTCATGGAAAAAATATATTACCACTCAAACCAAGCACAGACAAGACCGTGGTGCCCGTCAAATGTATCGTGTCAATCAACCAATTGAATCAGTCATACAGACAATCAGAGTCAAGCAATCCTTTATAACGATGAATCTATTGCCTAGGACTTGTAAAGATTACTAGCATATGACAAGAAACTAAATTTAAACATTCCATAATCAGACAATCCTAATGTACAAACAAAGGACAGCAGGCTAAAAGAGGCCTAGTGTCTTAGTCAAACAATATGTTATCATCACCATCACAAGTCAATCTTTAGTTATAACCATTTGAACTTCGCTGGACGAGGATTCCCTTCTCAAGGGATTTATTGTCGCATATCTATGGATTTTAACGTTCACTTGTCTTTTTCTGCGGGAAGTAATTTGCTCAAGGACAAGCTCTAAAAGTTGCTAGCTAATGTTAGCTTCAACATGTTAGAGTCGATTCCCAAATGTAATCTACAGCGTCAGAACCGTTTTGGTCATGTGTGGTAATGACCTGAATGTCAAATTAAGACGTAGACCTCTTTTAGCTTAGCGGCTATCATTTGTCTATTGCATACATCACAAGGCAGAACATTAGAAACCCTTTCATCTTCCGATCAATTCCCTTCAACACAGAGGCCTTTATTTATACACTCACACCTTTGATACTTCTTTGATCCTCTTCTCCATTTTGGGTTTAGGAAGTTGTGGTTTCCAAGACGTTTTTCACCTCCTCTTCTGTCATTGTTCTTCCTCCATTTTCCTTTTCTAATAATGCCCCACTGGGAGAAAGAGGGACTTATGACTTAGTGACTCCTGAATCAGTTGTTGCATAACTGTGTTTACTCCATCCTTGCGTGATCCTAAGATATTTCCCGATGTTGCACGAGGGCAGCAAACCCTTGAATCCACCATCTTTCCATTTCCCCTCTGTTTTCATCCCTCTTCAAACGTTAGGAATATGTAGTTCAAAGACCAGTCGTTGTCCCACCGTTATCTGTGATTCACCGTTTCACACGATAGCTGACGATGGAACTTTTTCCTAATATTTAAAGATGAGAAAACTAGATCAAAGTTTTGTTTTGGTCTGTTGATGTAATGATGGGCAATCCTTCTTCTTTGCTTCTTCCTTTTTCATACCCATCCCTTGTTCCAATGTGATGGTAGAGGTTCATGCAATTACTCCTAGAAATGTGACGACGTGCACCATCTCCCTTCACTCCAACAACCACTCCCTCCAACCGCCTTCCCTCCAATCCTCCATCATTGCAGGTAGCGGTAGACTTTGAAGCAGTGGTTTCCAGAGTCTGCCACGACCACATGTCCGTCTGAGGTCAAAGCCAGACCCTGGGGTCCGTACAGAGGGTCCGCGGACGTGTTGATGTAGGATAGAAAGGATCCGCTACCGTCAAATACCTGGAAATGTTTCAACAGAGCGAGAACATTTGGTTTCTGCACAAACTCCCAAAGTAAGTGCTTCTTGTTCTTACCTGTATTCTGCTGTTTCCCCAGTCGGCTACGATGATGTTCCCATTGACGTCCACAGCTACACCAGTGGGAGCGTTGAACTGGCCGTTTCCCTCACCATTAGAGCCAAATTTCATCACCAGCTCGCCCTCCGGAGTGAAAACCTGATAGAGACAGAAAAAAGAGTTCAAAGTGTTCCTGAGCAACACACTTTAAAACTAAAGGGATCGTTCAGGTAGTCTGCAGTAATGAAGGCTTTACCTTCACAGAGTGGTTGTGGAAGTCAGTCACGATGATCTCGTTGTTCTTGTTCACTGCTGCAAAGTGCGGACCTTTGAACAGAAACACAGATTGTGCTTTCAGTTCAAACTTCATCTTGAATTTAAAATGCTTTTGGTTATTAGTCGTCAGCGTTGAACATCACCTGCATTCAGATCTCATCACTCTGAACAGACTATACTTTATCTGCCACAACAAGTACTTCTAATGTGTGTACTTCATCTTACAACTCAACTTCTTTAAGTAGCTAAGAGGTCAGCTGTTCGAAAAACTAATTCTATTGATAGTCAGATCTTGGACAAACGAAGTATTCGTTTATCCATGGAGTTAAACATTCGAAAGATCATAAGTCTATGAACCGTTAATCGTTGGCCTCATTGTGTTGTGGCTCTTTCGTTAACATCCAGACTATCTCTTTGAAACTCTACCTGCAAACTGCTTGTCACCGTTTCCTCGACTTCCGAACTTGGAGACGAGCTTGCCGGTCAGCTGGAAGATGAAGACGGTGCACGCTTTGTTGTCAACCACGATCACGTGACCTTCCTGGTCCACCGTCACGCCCTTTGGCCCCATCAGTCTACCGGAGCCAAGCTTTGTCTAGATGGACAGAACACACGACCAACGAGAAGGAAAATACATTCAACAAAACACAAGAGTTTGAACACATTTTCTGTACGTCAGATAATCCAGTCCTAAAGTCCCTATTCCTTCCTACAGAGCTCAAAGCCACATACCTTGTACTTCCCCTCGCTGGAGAAGATGCTGACCCACTTGTTGTCGTAGTCAGCGATGATGATATCACCGGTGGGATGCACGGCCACGCCGGTGGGGACGCTGCAGCTGGCCTGGAGAGCGCCCCCGAACACCGAAACGACTCTTAAATTCCCCCTCATTGGAGAAGATCTGGACAGGGAAGACATTGGTACCCTCAAACAGCCATTTGGAGAAGTGAAGTCCAGACAAAAGGCTACCTTTCATTTAGCTGATGCTTTTATCAAAAGGGACTTACAATAAATGCAGATGAACATAAAAGAAACAAACTCAAAGCAGCAATTATCCTGCATTAGCTTTAAATAAGCCAAACCATTTACGAATGTGATGCATTAGTTACCATTAAGCCACATCTTTAGCATTAGCTTGAAAAGAGCCAAACCATTTGAAGAGGTAGCGGATTAGCCTCAAGTCCTGGTGCTTTAGCATTAAATGTAAAATGTTCAGGGGGGTGCATGATACCCCCTTCTACCCACTAGACTAATGAGCTTAACCTTTTTAAAAGTACAACGTTTGTATTAGTTGGAGGTGCTTTACCTGGACACACTGATTGTTGCTGTC